GGGGGGGGCACTTTGGGGGGCCACTGGGAGGAGAGTGGGGAATCCTCTCCATCAGACAAGCAATTTCTCTAGTTTAGGTCCCTCCCCTAAGAAAGAGGAAACGGCTGCCCCCTCCCCAACCAATTGGCAAACGCTCAAGTGTGAACTGGAAAGATGGGAAGGGGGTAGCTTCTAGGCTCTTCCTAGACCCCTCTGGGCATGGTGCATAGGTTTTAGAGTCCCACAGATCTAGATTCAAAATCACTGACTGTGTGACCTTGCACATGTAGTCAACCCCCTGGATCTCTATTTCCCCATCTGTAAAATGGGGTTCTTACCACCTCTTGGGACTGCTGGGGTATATGCACACAGAGCGCCTGGCTCAGGGTGAGCTCCCAGGCCAGATGTGTTGTTACCATCATTACTAATGTCATTCTCAGTCAAGAAAGGTGGTTTCCAGCCTTCTCCAACCCTTTGGGGCCACCAGGTGGCTGGACGGCTGGAATTTGCATGTGGACAAATGGAGGAATGGGCTCGGGAAGACAGACCCAAGGACCCACCCTCCTCCCCTGTTCCCCCAGTTCAGAGGCCGTTTGGGCTCCGTCCAGAGCTTAGCCAGTTATGTGCCAACCTGGTGGGTGGAGAAGGTCTGGGTCCCAGGTCTGTCTGGCGTGGGGGGAGGGGAGGGTCTTTGTTCCCCCTCGGATCACTAAGGCAAGACCCCCTGCGTGCGCCCTGGACTCCCAACACAGCCTGCCTTCTCCCTTCCTCACGCCCCACCCAGGCCCCAGTCCAGGCGGCCTTTGACAGCTGCTCTTCAGCCAACCAATGCCGGGTCCTTGGGGCGGCAGTTGCCATCCCCTCTACCCCGTCTGGGACACGAGGATGTACCCTCGACTCCACCCTCGGGGAATGAGACTGCTCCCGGCGCGGGGACAAGGATGCTTCGGCTGTTCCGAGGAGGCTGCTCTTACCTGGCGTCCGCGGTCCTGCGGTGGGAGTGCAGAGGGTTCTTTGTGCCCGGGCTCACAGTGCAAAACTGGGGGAGCCCCTGCAAGCGCCTCCCATCACAAACTCCTCCCCGCACTCGTCCGCAGCCTCCCTCCCTCCGGTCCCCCGAGCGCTGCCGGCGTCGTCTTTGTAGCTGCTGCAGCGCCCATGAAATTTTAATGCGGGAGCGGCTGGCTGGCGGAGACGCCCCACCCCCCAGCCCCATCCTCGGCCCTCCTCTCGCCACCTCTCGCCCCGGCAACCCTACGCCCTGCCCCCTACCGCCTCCCAGGAGTGGGGTCGTGGAGGCGGGTGCAGCCCCGAGGCAGCAAAGCTCTACCCGCCCCCGCGGCACAAAGAGGCGAGCGGGGCAGCGCGCAGAGCCTCCTGCATCCCAGCCGGCGGCGCTGCCATGGCAACGCTTGCGGCGCTGGACTCTGCAGCCGGTAGCCCAGCGCTGGAGAGGCGAGCGCGAGCAGAGCGCAACCCAGGACCCCGGGAGCAGAGACAGGAGCCAGTCAGACTCCCCCCACTCCCCGCAAGAAGACAGAAATGACCCGTCCTGGAGTAGCAGGTGCTTAAGCCGGGCCACCCGTGTCTGCCTTTCACTCACCCTGCCACTCACCCTGCCGGATGAGTATGGGGGTTTGGGGGAGACCGCGTCTTCCTGCCCATGTACCTGCTATTACATCACTTGACCTAACAACTTTGATAGGTCTTTTATTGTTTTAATTGCCCTCTTCTGGATAATTGCTATTTTCTAGAGCATGCTTGCTAGAAAGCAGTCCTGGAACAACGGTTCAGAACTGATCCAGGCCAACAGCATCAATATCCCTTAGGAACTTATTGGAAAAGCACATTCTCAGGCCCCAGAGCTACTGCATCAAAAACTCCAGGGTGGGGGCCAAAGATGTGTGTTTTCACGACCCCTTCAGGAGATTCTGGTGCATATTTAAGCTTGGGCTGGGCTCTTTCCAACCTGTCCTAGGTTTAAATTTTAACTCTGTCCTCCTGCCCCCTTACCAAGTGACCTTGGCCAAGCTACACCTCCTGCCTGAGATGTCCTACTCCATACAGTCCAAAGAACATGAAATCTGCTTTGTGGAGTTATGAAGGTTGAATTAGGAAATGCATGGCAGGAGAGGGGCTTAGCGCAGTGTCTGGTACTTGGGCTCAAAATACATTTTTATTGTAATACTAAAACATCTCTAATTTTCACAAATCTGTGTATGTTATGTCATCACCCTCATTGCTCAGATATGGACGTTAAGATCCAGCGAAGCAATGAGAGCTGCCCACTGCCACTGTAAGGGGCCATTTCTGGGTTAACTCCAGTTTACCATCATCTATAGGATACATCTCTTCCTGAGGAGCACCCCCTGCCCTCGCCAGCCTCGGTCCTCAGAAAATCCAAACCCAATTCAACAAACCTATTGCACAAATCCATTGTGGCCTGCGATCACTGCAGGAACCCCGAAACCCCAGGGGTCTCAGATATGCCATACCCTGACAGAGCTAACATTTTGCCAGAGAAACAAGTCTAAAGACAAGCAGGTGCTATCACCTGGCTCCAAGTGCAGGACCCAACCACAGCTGTGACCAGATGGAAGACCTTCCCTGGGCCACCAGATCACAAATCAGCAAGGGAACGAGGGACAGGCCCGACGGGCTCTAAGTGAGCACAAGGCAGCCTAGGAATTTCTGCCTTCTTTTCAAGTGTTCCCAAGCACATACATACCTGTTCCCAAATCCTCCTGCCTATCAGCCCATCCTTTCTGGTATCCACTCAGAAAAGAGCAAGGCACTCGTGCATCTCCAAATCTTCCAGATCTCCAAAGTGAACAAAAAGCTCTTGGCCTGGTTTCCAAGTAGCTGTGGTTCTAGGGGTATCTTTCCAAGACGAGCAGAGGAAGGAAGATGGGGGCAAAGAGGCATGAGAAGCTGCAGAGACTTGAGTCTAACTCAGGTGGATTCAGGGTGAGACATCCACTAAGGACTCAAGGAGTCCTCATGTCCGGTAGGGACAGACACCAGGAAGGTCCTGTCCGGCCATCTGTGTCCAGGTTCACCATCATAGTGCATTTATCATGAGCAGCCTGAGCTAGCTCCCCGGGGCCTTCAGTGGTTCTCTCCGGCCTCCTTGTGCCCATCCAGTGAGTATCTTTGTAGTTAGTCAAAGCTTCCTTAGCACCCTCCAGTTTCTTAGGGGCACAAAAGGGGCTGGTTAGTGACCTCAACATCTCTCTCATCTCTTTTAAGCTCAGGGCACCACCACCATCTCCTTTGGGGTTTCACATCCAATTTGATAGCCAGATCTGTCACCTTTCTTGTCTCCCCATCGATATGAGTCTGACCTCACCTCATCCTGAAGGGAGACTCAAGACATTCAAAAGCACACCCCAAGGTGGAAAATGTCATCCTCCATGCAACTCGCCAAGAACTCCAGTCTTCTGGGTAATACTTCCTGGCATAACTCGGGCCCTGAGAGCCTATAAGAAGACTAGAGCATCACGTGGAGTCCTAGAGGATCATTCAACACAGTCATGCTGCAGCATTTTGTAGTTTTTATTCTGAGATGAACTTGGTATGATATGCAACTAAACTTGAAAGCAAACAATTCAGTGGCGTTTAGCAAAGTCATCGTGTTATGCAACTACTTCTCTAACTAATTCTAAAACATTTCTGTTAAGCATCCCATCCTCCCTCCCCAGCCCCTGGCAACCAGAGATCTACTTTCTGCCTCTGGGTTTGACCATTCTGGTCATTTCATAGAAATAAAACTATGCAATATTTGTCCTTGTAATTCTGGATTATTTCATTCAACATAATGTTTTAGAGATTTATTCCTTTGAACCATCACATGTATTCAGCTTCATTCTTTTTGATGGCTGAATAATATTCCATCGTTTGGCTGTAGTACGATTTGTATATACATTGCCATTGATGGATATCTGGGTTGTTTTTGCCTTTTGGCAATTATGAATAGAGCTGCTGTGAGCCTACTTTTACATGGATTCACTTGAGTCTCTCCACAATTCCTTTGGGTCTATACCTCTCCGACTCAGTTCTTTTTATGACTTCCATGCAAAGTGAGTTTTAGAGTTAACAGCAGGTGGGCTTCTTCCCCTAATTATCCAAACTAGTTACACAGACCCACCCACCCCCCACGTTGGTGCCAGCTCTCTGCTCAGCCACCCCTTGCCAACCTGTGAGGAAGGGCTCTGAGGAGAGCCAGTTCTCATCTGCCTGCCAGCCATGTTATATGCCTCCAACAGGACATTGGGGAGCTCCTCTCTGGAAGCTGCTCCCTGAGCAAGCAGTGTTACTTCAACACAGTGTTACCTGTGTTACCCACATAGGAAATTTCATTTTGAGACATCAGAGTAGCCAACCCTCTTTGGGGTGGGGATGAGCCTCCATGAATTCTGAGGGACGTGTCTGTCCAGCAGAGGAAGGCTGCATGTGGTATGGCCCAGCAAGAAAATGACCAGCACCAGTTTCTCCCCCTGCCCTTCTAGAATCACCTTCTGAAGCAATGAACTGGACCAGCTGCCCACTGACTTGCACTGTTCCAAGTATTTTATTCATATTCCCTTCCAGCACCCTCTGAGGAAGTGTCACTATCATCTCCATCTGACAAAGAAAGTGAGGCTCAGAGAGGGGAAGTGACTTTACCCAAGGTCAGCCAGCAAGACAGTGGTGAAGCTGAGGTTCAAGCAAGCCCTTACTGTGTGAGTCTGAAAGCTGCACCTCACCTTCATCCTGAGCTTCCCCCAGGGGGGGCGGCACACCACATCCAGCTGCACAATGACCCTGCCACCTTGCTGGGGTCACTTTGGGATCCCCTGGACATGCACAGGGGGCAGTTGATCTCAACCCCAGTTGAGGAAGGACCCCCCTGGCTTAGGGGGGCATTGCATGGATGGCTGGAGTTCAGTGTTCGCCAGTCTTATCTGTGTCCTGTCCCCAGCAGCTAGGACACTTGATAAGGCATGAGCAGACCGATTATCTCAGATACAGATCCTGAGATGAGAATTCCAGTGCAAGCCATTTATTTGGGAGATGGTCCTGGGGAGCACTGGTTAGGGAATGGAGTGGGGAGACAGTGCAGAGAATTATTGTCCTGAGTAATTGGTCTGCTGGGCTGCCGTGACAAGATGCCGCAGCGTGGCAGCACGGACATTTGTTTCCTTGCTGTTCTGGAGGCTGGAAGTCACAGCCAAGGTGCCGGCAGGCTTGGGCTCTCCTGAGGCCTCTCTCCTGGGCTTGCAGATGGCCGCCTTCTGTCCGTGTCCTCACGTGGCCTTTGTACATAAGCTCCCGTCTTTCCTCTCCTTACAGGGACCTCAGTCCTGGGCCCTCCCTGGTGGTGCAATGGGTTAAAGTGCAGCACTATGAAGTTATTGTAGCCATTGCAGCATGAGTTCAATCCCCAGCCAGGGAGCTGGCACATGGTGGCACATGGCACATGGCCAGGTGCTGACCCACATGGCACGGCAGACCTCTCCTGTCTCACTTCCTGCTCCCCTCAGCAGTGGATTCCACTACAACTACCTCCTCTGCTCCCCTCTCTGTCTCTAGTGAGTCCTCTCACTGCCCCCTTGATGCCACAGTTCTTATATGCACAAATAAATAAATCTTTTTTTTTTTTTTAAAGAACCCCAGTCTTAGTGGATTAAAGTTCCACCACTGGATTAGAACCCCACCTGTAGCCTCATGGAATTGTAGCAACCTCCAGAAATCTGGTCTCTAAACAGTCATACATGGGGGCGGGGGGAGGGGGCAGAATTCACACATGAGTATAACAATGCAAATGCCAACAGAAGCACTCAGTTTTGCTGAAGCCTCCAGAGGCACCATGTAGGACACACCTGAGTCCTCCCGCCTGAGGTCAAAGAAACAGGTCCCCACCCCAGCAGAGTCCAACAGATTCAAAGTTTCCCCAGTTTGAGGAGCTCTGTTCACGAAGTCCCAATGCTGTGCAGGCAGATGGTGCCTCCGGCCAGGGTCCCAGCCTTACCCCAGGGGGTGGAGAGTTACTTGCGAGTAGACTTGCTATGATCAGCGTCTTCTTGACAGACATTTAGGGGGCATATGGGCGAGCGTGCACTAGCGATGTGACT